CAAGCTACATCGGTAGTGGTCAATGAGGGCCCTCTCATTCCATCCCGCGTTGGCAGCCAGAGTCCTAAAGTCCAGTGCGAATTCCTGCGCTCTCCTCCTCCCCTGTCTGAGGTGGAATAGACACTCACCCGCCGCTTTTCTTTCTGGTGGATGATCGAATACCGCCCTAAAGCGGCGGGTGAACTCCGCATAGTTGACAGAAGCGGCGTCTATTCCCCCCCACTCGGCGTTGGCCCACTCCAGCGCCTTGCCGGACAGACAGGAGATGAGGGCGGACACGCTCTCGTATCCCGAGGGGACCGGGTGGATGGTTGCCAGGTAGAGTTCGACCTGGAGCAGGAAACCTTGACACCCGGCAGCTGTGCCATCATAAGCCCTCGGGAGCGAGAGCCGAATCCCACTGGACCCCGGAGGTGAAGCGATGGGTATCGATGATGGTGGGGGTGTAATCGGAGGAGGTGTAGGCAGACCTCCTCTCTCCCATCGCTCCATGGTGTTCACTACACCTTCCACGGCGGTGCCGAGAGCCTGGATCATGGCAGCTTGTTGTTGTACGCGTTCTTCCATTGATCCTGCTGGCACCGCTGCTCCTGCTGACTCCATGTAAGTTGTGTGATTCTGTCAGAGCGTCAGTGAATGCGGTAGGCGAAGTCAAACGCAGGACACAGAGCTTACTGGAAACGTACTTTACTCGAAAGTAACCAGAGTATAAACAACCTCCACACAGGGAGGAAAACAACCCGCACACGAACTACTGCCGATGACGAATACAATCACACACAACACACAATGAAAGACAGAGGGTTGTATAGGGAAGACAATACAACATAATGGGAAACAGGTGTACACAATAAAGACCAAACAAGTCAAACACAGAAACATAGATCGGTAGCAGCTAGTACTCCGGGGACGACGAACGCCGAAGCCTGCCCAAGCAAGGAGGAGGGGCAGCCTCGGCTGAATCCGTGACAGCATGCCTCACCAATACCCAAACAAGTGCAGGAGGTAGCTTTGTGTTGACTGTTTCAGTCCAGGGACATAGCTACTTTAGAGTATTAAAACTGAAAACACAGTTTTTCCATGCTGAGGCCTGAGGATGTAACAAACTAGCCACAAACACCTACAGTTGAAATCAGAAGTTTACATACACCTTAGCCAAATACATTTATACTCAGTTTTTTACAATTCCTGACATTTAATCCTAGTAAAAATTCCCTGTCTTAGGTCAGTTAGGATCAACACTTTATTTTAAGAATGTGAAATGTCAGAATAATAGGATTGAGGTCAGGGCTTTTTGATGGCCACTCCAATACCTTGACTTCGTTGTCCTTAAGCCATTTTGCCTTTGGAAGTATGCTTGGGGTCATTGTCCATTTGGAAGACACATTTGCGACCAAGCTTTAACTTCCTGACTGATGTCTTGAGATGTTGCTTCAATATATCCACATAATTTTCCTTCCTCATGATGCCATCTATTTTGCGAAGTGCACCAGTCCCTCCTGCAGCAAAGCACCCCCGCAGCATGATGCTGCCAACCCCGTGCTTCACGGTTGGGATGGTGTTCTTCTGCTTGCAAGTGCCCCCTTTTCCTCCAAACATAATGATGGTCATTATGGCCAAACAGTTCTATATTTGGAGCAGTGGCTTTGTCCTTGCTGAGCGGCCTTTCAGGTTATGTCGATATAGGACTCGTTTTACTGTGGATATAGATACTTTTGTACCAGTTTCCTCCAGCAACTTCACACGGTCCTACTCTGCTGTTGTTCTGGGATTGATTTGCACTTTTCGCACCAAAGTACGTTCATCTCTAGGAGACAGAACGCGTCTCCTTCCTGAGCGGTATGACGGCTGTGTGGTCCCATGGTGTTTATACTTGCGTACTATTGTTTGTACAGATGAACGTGGTACCTTCAGGCGTTTGGAAATTTCTCCCAAGGATGAACCAGACTTTTGGAGGTCTACCATTTATTTTTCTGAGGTCTTGGCAGATTTCTTTTGATTTTCCCATGATGTCAAGCAAAGAGGCACTGAGTTTGAAGGTAGGCCTTGAAATACATCCACAGGTACACCTCCAATTGACTCAAATTATTTCAATTAGCCTATCAGAAGCTTCTAAAGCCATGACATAATTTTCTGGAATTTTCCAAGCTGTTTAAAGGCACAGTCAACTTAGTGTATGTAAACTTCTGACCCACTGGAATTGTGATACAGTGAATTATAAGTGAAATAATCTGTCTGTAAACAATTGTTGGAAAAATTGTCCTAACCGACTTGCCAAAACGATAGTTTGTTAACAAGACATTTGTGGAGTGGTTGAAAAATGAGTTTTAATGACTCCAACCAAAGTGTATGTAAACTTCCGACTTCAACTGTAGGCTTCTAATCAACACATAGACACACACACTAACACACACACACATTTGTTTTACTATCGTTGTGGGGACCAAACAATTGATTCCCATTCAAAATCCTATTTTCCGTAATCCTAAACCTAACCCTAAACTTTAACCAAACCCTAACCCATCATTCTAACTCTAGCCCCCACCAAATTATTCTTGTTTTATGATCCTTGTGAGGACTTCTGGTCCCAAAAGGATAGTAAAACCAAAAACACACACACAAATATTTGATGTCTCAAAGGTTCCTTCTACCTCTATATATGAGAGATTGCCCGTGGTCCGTGAGTACATCCTGTGCTGCCTGGTGGTCTTTGTCTACTAATGTAGGTCTCCACTCTGAGAGGCTGTGTGCCAGGCCCTGAATCGGAGACTGTTGGACTGTACATCACATGATGGGCCTCAGGGCAAGGTTGTGAAAAGATCCTAAGATGGAGGATGGAGGGATTGAGGATGAAAGAGGGGATGAGAGATATGAACATGTAGCCCAGCTCTCTCTCTCCCTCTCTCTCTCTCTCTCTCTCTCTCTCTCTCTCTCTCTCTCTGTCTCTCTCTCTCTCTCTCTCTCTCTCTCTCTCTTTGTCCCGGTTGTGATTTCACAGTCGAACAAAGCCATTGGACATCAATAGCACGATTCTAGCACCAAACAGCTCATTAGCTCACATACTTCTAACAGCCTGAGAAAAATGTGCTGTCATCTTGAAGGTTGCTCTTCATTGACTTTCACTTGTTTACATTGGAGAGGGAATTACTGTAATTTAACTCAATCTGTAGCTGTTTTCTCATCATCTTAATCTGTAGTGCACAGGGTTCAGGATGACAATTAGTATACCTTCTTGAGCCTAACCTTTACTTAAACAGATTTATCCTCTCTGAGTCTTTCAGATGACTTTCCCATCTTCATCTGAGTGCCCTCTCCACATTACCTAAATAGGCCAATGTTCCTGATGTAGTTGGAATCCCTAACTAGGGGGCTGCTCTATTGCAAGCTGCAGGTCTGGCTCACTGTTCTGTATGCTGCTTCTATTCCTACAGTGCCCACTGTTTCCTATGCAGAGCATGCTCCTGTCAATCTCATTATATTACCCTGGTGCCGGTGCTCCAGGAGAGGGCTCCCTAAAGCCTGCAGCTGCAATATTAATGGAACAGAGCAGCAGAGAAAAATAAGAACCTCTGCTTCATATTATATTACTGCCCTAACCTGTTAGCTCCTTACTGGGCCCTGCCCTAACCTGGTCCCTACCCTAACTGGGCCCTACCCTAACTGGGCCCTACCCTAACTGGGTCCTACCCTAACTGCAGCCGAGCAGCCATGACTTGAACACACATTCTAAATCGCTGGCCCAAACGTCCGCCTCACATATTGACATTTCGGACAGAGATGCCTGAGAGAATGTTGTGTGAAATGTAACATACACCATAATGTAATGGAACACAATGTAACAGGCACCGTAATGGTGAGCTATGTTCCTGAAACATGTTGTGTCATAAACATTGATTGATTTGAATGTCAGTGTTTCTATAACTGGGAGTGTCTGTCTGAACTGAGGCTTGGCTGAATCTCGGATTATCATATTACACGCAGAATACTATAAATAGGCTACAAACTACAGTACAAACTGCAGTAGTCCATGATGTTACATGAGAATATGTGTCAATCAGGGATGCAAGGGTTTGACTATGCTGAGGACTAGATAGTCTGTTTACAGATGCTGCCAGATGAAGTCAGATGTGTACTGGTGGATTTATCTCCTCCTATATGAATGTAGGTCGATGGGCTGCAGTCTCTATACTGTCAGTTTCTCTCCATCATTTTGGCAGACGATGATTGAAACAGCATCTCAGCAAAGATGTTTAATCTACTTAGTTCAGAGCTTCTGTTGAATGTAGTCATTTAGATTTAAACATGGTTTTATAGCTAGATGTTTTCCAGTCTGTGAGTCTTGTGATTGGATTGTTTTTTCTTTGGCACACGGCAGATATAAAACATTACACTGAGTAGTTCCTGAACACAGAGGCCTTCCTTCAAGAAAAAGATTAGGAACGAGAGTGAAACTATGACAGGAAATTGTAGGTTTAAGTAGAGATAGATTATGGGATATTGTGCCCCCCTGGAGCACAGAGAGAGCCCTTCTTGTGACCCATGGAGATTTAAACACGCAGGCTGGAGGCTGCTCATGCCTCTACTGACAGCAAACATTACACAGTGAGGGGGAGAGAGACAGTCATTCAAAGGCTTTACCTTGTGGCGTTATGTTGAACTCCTGATGAAGTCTAAGGCAACTCATATGAGTTACAGAATTTGTACTCAAGTTCAAAACCATTACAACATTCCTCACATTTCTTGATCCAGTTATTGAGATTGAAAATACGTCTCTAAATGGGGGCTGGTTGTTGATTTGTTGAAAGCCTGCAGAGTGCAGAGGGAGTGGTGGACTTTAGTATATTTTGATATCTCAGGGAAGAGCCTGTAGGCACGGCCCTCTTCTCATTTTCCACTTTGATCCTAAGAATCTCTTCATTTATTTTCTATCATAGCACCATGCTAAACTTCCATCTCTCTTGTTTTTCTTTCTTCCTAGGAGATTGTGAGTGTTACTAAAGATGTCCGATAGAGTCGATATTGAAGAGAAACCGCCAGCCCCTCCCTTGAGAATGAACAGTAGTTCCCGAGACTCTACATCAGTGAATCACGGCTCCAAACCTCTCCCAATGGCTCCTGAAGAGAAGAACAAGAAGGTCCGCCTGCGCTCCATCTTCCCTGGGGGAGACAAGAGTGAGCAGACAGCTGCATATCACATTTTACTGTAGAATTAGAGTCCTGCATGAGCTTGTCCTGACCTCATGACCTAAACTGTGTGCCCTAGACATCACCACTGGCTCACGAGGTCCAGTGACAACAAGGAACCAGTTGATCAGTGATAGAGTAACATCACAGCTTTATGACGGTTAGGAGCCCCCTCTAAGTTATGCAATTTGAGATATGGGTATTGTATTTATATTTAGCTTCGCCCTCAGCAAAGAGTGAAACAATCTGAGTTATATAAAAGTTGCTGGAGCCATATAATCTGTGTAAACACAGTTCTTGTTCTAAAAATATTTGTAATCTCTGCTCAGGAATAATACCACACTGATTTGAAAATGTATCTCTTTAAAATCTCAGTGTACTATGTATTAGAAATAGATCTGAATGTTATTTTTGTTTTCCCCTGTGCAGCAAACAAGAAGAAGGAGAAGGAGCGTCCTGAGATTTCCCTGCCCTCAGACTTTGAGCACACCATCCATGTCGGCTTTGACGCTGTTACAGGGGAGTTCACTGTAAGTACATCCTTGACAGATCAACGTTCCAGTGAATATATTTAAACAGTATACGGTACATCACAGACAAGGAAGGTGTACAGTGAAGGTTTTGAGTATACCTTTAAATGGCCCATATTACCACTACATGTTAAAAATAACCATGGTAGCTATGAGGTCACAGAGTGGATCTGACCTCTGACCTATGACCTGTAACCTCTCTCCCCCAGGGCATCCCAGAGCAGTGGGCGCGGCTCCTTCAGACCTCCAACATCACCAAGCTGGAACAGAAGAAGAACCCTCAGGCCGTGCTGGACGTGCTCAAGTTCTACGACTCCAAAGAGACGGTCAATAACCAGAAATACATGAGCTTCACCTCCGGAGGTAAGAACACACAAACACACAACAGCCAGACGCTGTTTCAGATCATCTCTCTGCCTTACATTTCTGAATAATTGAAATAGCGAAAATATGCTGCTGTGCTGAGCTAAAGCTTTGAATATTTACAGTACATGCGGTCAGATCCGCTCTGTGACCTCATCTCTGTGACCGCACACTTTTTCATGTCTTGGATATATTTAACTGTCAGTGTGTTGTTAATGTAAGAGAATGGGACGTCTGGCAATGATTCCTTTCTCTTTCAGACAAATCAGCACATGGATACATAGCAGCCAACACTCTGGTAAGTGCTACTTCATTTCAAACATGTTTCTTTCCTCTTAACAACTAATTAGCCCGCATTTATTGAAAGAGAAACAAATATGAGCTTATAGTCTGTGTAGTACTCTCTCGTCAGCTGTAGGGTGCTCTGGAGTTTTTGAAAGCACTGTAAGCCAGACTGCGTGTTCTCGCTGGGCCCATTAACATTATCATGACCTCACATGACTGTCTCAGAGTATAAGCGTCCCTTTGGAAATCAGCCAAAGGACTGTCTCTGGGCTGTGTCGCTGTCTGAGTAATGTTTCATCGGTGTAATGTAAATGGTGGACTGAGAGAGAAGACTCTCAGGGGTTGTGTGCACTCACCTGCATTCAGACTTTCTGTCTGTTGGTACTTTACCTCTGGCTTGGGTGTGAATAGTCGGTGAACGGAGGCCTTTTCTCTACTATGGTTTTGTTATGTCTGGAGAATGCTGGTTTTCCCAGGCGGTGGCGCCGGCCTGTTGACTCCCAGCACTCTAAGGGTCCTGATGAAGTGTTGATAGAGCAGGTACCACACCTCTCAATAAGGAGCTGGTTCAGAGCCAGGCAGTAGGTACCACACCTCTCAATAAGGAGCTGGTTCAGAGCCAGGCAGTAGGTACCACACCTCTCAATAAGGAGCTGGTTCAGAGCCAGGCAGTAGGTACCACACCTCTCAATCGGTCAGCTCTCTGATATACTGTATGTATCAAATCAAAGTTTATTTGTTGCGTGAACGGGATACAACAGGTCTTACAAGCTATTTCTCAACAATGCAGTGTTCAAATACTAGGTCATATATCAAAAGATAAAAAAGAATTTATAACAAACCTAAGAATAAAAACTCACAAGGAGTAAAACACACAAGAATGTACGCAATATACAAGGTCGCTACCAGTTTCATATCAATGTGCAGGGATACAGTGGTAGGTGCCATATGGTGGCATTATGTCAATGTGCAGAAGCAAAATGTTCTGCCACTAATATCACGCTAGTGATCACCTTGCCATCTCTAGGTCAGCAGCTAGGTCTGGTCATCAGCAGAAGGTCCCCAAAACATGATTTGTGTCTCTTCACCCATGAAAATCTCTCTTCAGTTGATATGTGAGGATCCATTCATGTGTATTTAGATACTGATAGAAATAAGTCCCCATCTCTCCGTAGTGGTCCCCTGCCCTCTACCCTTCCCCATCTCTCCGTAGTGGTCCCCTGTCCTCTACCCTCCCCCATTTCTCCGTAGTGATCCCCTGTCCTCTACCCTCCCCCATCTCTCCGTAGCGGTCCCCTACCCTCTGCTCTCCCCCATCTCACCGTAGCGGTCCCCTGTCATTTACCCTCCCCCATCTCTCCGTAGCTGTCCCCTGTCCTCTACCCTCCCCCATCTCTCCATAGCTGTCCCCTGTCCTCTACCCTCCCCCATCTCTACGTAGTGGTCCCCTGCCCTCTGCTCTCCCCCCATCTCTCTGTAGTGGTCCCCTGTCCTCTACCCTCCCCCATCTCTACGTAGTGGTCCCCTGTCCTCTACCCTCCCCCATCTCTCTGTAGTGGTCCCCTGTCCTCTACCCTCCCCCATCTCTCTGTAGTGGTCCCCTGTCCTCTACCCTCCCCCATCTCTACGTAGTGGTCCCCTGTCCTCTACCCTTCCCCATCTCTATGTAGTGGTCCCCTGTCCTCTACCCTCCCCCATCTCTCTGTAGTGGTCCCCTGCCCTCTACCCTCCCCCATCTCGCCATAGTGGTCCCCTGTCCTCTACCCTCCCCCATCTCTCCATAGCTGTCCCCTGTCCTCTACCCTCCCCCATCTCTACGTAGTGGTCCCCTGCCCTCTGCTCTCCCCCCATCTCTCTGTAGTGGTCCCCTGCCCTCTACCCTCCCCCATCTCTCCATAGTGGTCCCCTGTCCTTTACCCTCCCCCATCTCTCAGTATCGGTCCCCTGTCCTCTACCCTCCCCCATCTCTCTGTAGTGGTCCCCTGTCCTCTACCCTACCCCATCTCTATGTAGTGGTCCCCTGTCCCCTTCTTCTCTCCTCCATCTCTCTGTAGCGGTCCCCTGTCCTCTACCCTCCCCCATCTCTCCATAGTGGTCCCCTGTCCTTTACCCTCCCCCATCTCTCTGTAGCGGTCCCCTGTCCTCTACCCTCCCCCATCTCTCCGTAGTAGTCCCCTGCCCTCTACCCTCCCCCATCTCTCTGTAGCGGTCCCCTGTCCTCTACCCTCCACCATCTCTCTGTAGTGGTCCCCTGTCCTCTACCCTCCCCCATCTCTCCGTAGTGGTCCCCTGTCCTCTACCTTCCCCCATCTCTCCGTAGCAGTCCCCTACCCTCTGCTCTCCCCCATCTCTCCGTAGCGGTCCCCTACCCTCTGCTCTCCCCCATCTCTCCGTAGCAGTCCCCTACCCTCTGCTCTTCCCCCATCTCTCCGTAGCGCTCCCCTACCCTCTGCTCTCCCCCCATCTCTCCGTAGCGGTCCCCTACCCTCTGCTCTCCCCCATCCCTCTATAGTTCATTGCTCTGTAATGTTGTGTGGGTCTGTGTTCAGTAAATCCTCCCATTTTCAACCTTCACATTCAGAACCGACTGCTGTCGTCTGGGCCTCCTGTCAGCCTTAGAACCTGCAGCGCATTATTTGACAAGGTAACTCCTCCATATTACATTCCGCATACCTCTACGGTCGTGGTCAAAAGTTTTGAGAATGACACAAATATTAATTTTCACAAAGTCTGCTGCCTCAGTTTTTATGATGGCAATTTGCATATACTCCAGAATGTTATGAAGAGTGATCAGATGAAAGTCCTTCTTTGCCATGAAAATGAACTTAATCCACAAAAAAACATTTTCACTGCATTTCAGCCCTGCCACAAAAGGACCAGCTGACATCATGTCAGTGATTCTCTCGTTAACACAGGTAAGAGTGTTGACGAGGAGAAGGCTGGAGATCCCTCTGTCATGCTGACTGAGTTAGAATAACACACTGGAAGCTTTAAAAGGAGGGTGGTGCTTGAAATCATTGTTCTTCCTCTGTTAACCATGGTTACCTGCAAGGAAACATGTGCCGTCATCATTGCTTTGCACAAAAAGGGCTTCCCAGGCAAGGATATTGCTGCTAGTAAGATTGCACCTAAATCAACTATTTATCGGATCATCAAGAACTTCAAGGAGAAAGGTTCAATTGTTGTGAAGAAGGCTTCAGGGCGCCCAAGAAAGTCCAGCAAGCGCCAGGACCGTCTCCTAAAGTTGATGGGATCGGGGCACCACCACAGAGCTTGCTCAGGAATGGCAGCAGGCAGGTGTGAGTGCATCTGCACGCGCAGTGAGGCGAATACTTTTGGAGGATGGCCTGGTGTCAAGAAGGGCAGCGAGGAAGCCACTTCTCTCCAGGAAAAACATCAGGGACAGACTGATATTCTGCAAAAGGTACAGGGATTGGACTGCTGAGGACTGGGGTAAAGTCATTTTCTCTGATGAATCCCCTTTCCGATTGTTTGGGGCATCCGGAAAAAAGCTTGTCCGGAGAAGACAAGGTGAGCACTACCATCAGTCCTGTGTCATGCCAACAGTAAAGCATCCTGAGACCATTCATGTGTGAGGTTGCTTCTCAGCGAAGGGAGTGGGCTCACTCAAAATGTTGCCTAAGAACACAGTCATGAATAAAGAATGGTACCAACACATCCTCCGAGAGCAACTTCTCCCAACCATCCAAGAACAGTTTGGTGACAAACAATGCCTTTTCCAGCATGATGGAGCACCTTGCCATAAGGCAAAAGTGATAACTAAGTGGCTCGGGGAACAAAACATCGACATTTTGGGTCCATAGCCAGGAAACTCCCCAGACCATAATCCCATTGAGAACTTGTGGTCAATCCTCAAGAGGCAGGTGGACAAACAAAAACCCACAAATTCTGACAAACTCCAAGCATTGATTATGCAAGAATGGGCTGCCATCAGTCAGGATGTGGCCCAGAAGTTAATTGACAGCATGCCAGGGCGGATTGCAGAGGTCTTGAAAAAGAAGGGTCAACACTGCAAATATTGACTCTTTGCATAAACTTAATGTAATTGTCAATAAAAGCCTTTGACACTTATGGAATGCTTGTAATTATACTTCAGTATACCATAGTAACATCTGACAAAAATATCTAAAAACACTGAAGCAGCAAACTTTGTGAAGACCAATACAAAACTTTTGACCACGACTGTACATTGGCTGAACACTAAATTGAACCATTTTGAACTCCTAATGTTGTTGATGCTAGATTTGCCCAGATACGCAGGCTCTATTGGATGGAAATGAACATGACTTACCAATAAATATGACTTACCATCCACCAAATGTTTGAGATTTTAGAGACCGCTTCACTCTCTATATTTAAATTTTGTTTGTGGGGGGGCATAATTGGATCTGGCCAATTTTCAAGGTAATGGATGCTTCGCTACTTCACCACTTGTCGTAAGCATTTCCTTAAACAATTCCAAATGGCCCACCCTTAAACTGTCAGGGCAGGGGCGCATGCCTAAGAGGGCTATTATGATCGTCAAAATCCTGCATGTCTGAACACGTGTTCTTCACTCCCTTCCCCACATAGCCAATATGTGCCTGCTTTAATAGTCAGTGGTTTAGATCTGACCGCGTGGCCCAGTAGAAACCTGTTAGCTAGCGCTGCTTATCATTAGCCAGCTAGCCTCTCATCTCCACTGCCTTGTTCGGCTCTGTCTGTGCTACCATGAGGGACAATAGGGGTCAGTGTTCTGAAGACTGCCCCAGATTCATAGCACAGACAGAGTTGAAGAAGGCAGTGGAGATGAGAGGCTAGCTGGCTAATGATAAGCAGCGCTAGCTAACAGATGTCTACTGGGCCATGTGGTCAGATCTAAACCGCTGATGGACTATTAAAGCAGGCACATATTGGCTATGTGGGGAAGGGAGTGAAGAACACGACGGACTGCTGGCTTGGCACCAATAGCCCACCGCTAATCACCACTACTGATATGCTGCGCTGCTTTGGCTATTCTTTGCCATCCTATGTTGCATGCTTAGGCTAGGGATGGATTAAATCTATCCCACTGTACAGAACAGTCCAAGTGGTCACCCAGATGATGGAGTACAGTACAGAGGTGAGAGACATTGAAACCCATTTTAGAGGAGAGAGTAGTGACAGGGATTGCCTTTGCATGGCACTCTGATCCACCCTCAGAATAGGTATGTGACCTACTGTATTATAAGGCTGTTTTTAGTGGCTATGGTTGGAGTGTTGGGTTAGGGGTCGTTTTGCATGTTTGGCTCTCTAGGCCCAGCTGTATGCTGTATAATGCAGTTCTATGGGCTGTCACTGAAACACCTCACAACAGAGAATATCCCTGTTAGCCTTGTTCTAGCTTGTTTTCTCATATAGCTGTCATGGTTTTTGCTGTAAAATGTAACTACTGTACCACATATCCCCCCACCCCACACACCCCCACCCTCTGAGCACATCCCACCATGTCATACCACACTCTCTGTCTGGTACATACCTCAGCCCATATGATCACAAGCCATTCTAGTAGCTTTCCTGTCCAGGGCCCGTATCCACAAAGCATCTCAGAGTAGGAGTGCTGATCTAGGATCAGTTTTGCCTTTCGGATCATAATAAATAATATTATATGGACAGATCCTAGATTTGTGGATACGGGCCCAGGTTTAATCAAGCTGATCATATTGGATACCTACATTCCTGATTACACTGTGGATTTTTTTTATTTTTTTTATTGTTTTACCGTATCTTATTTCACAGCTGAACACCCTGTTGTAATGGTATGGTCTAAGGAGGTGTTTATTGAAAGCATGGACATGCTTCATTACATGGAACATTAGGAGTCCCTGGACTAAACATTGACAATAATGCTTGTGACGCAGCTGTCCCAGCGTTTCAGATTGTCACAGTCCAACGTACTACAGACCTCCTCACTGAAACCTTGATTTACCCTTCAGGGTGCAAAGACATCGACAGAGCCCCCTATAGCGCCCCCTGTGTCAGAGGAGGAGGAGGATGAGGAGGAGGAGGAGGAGGAAGAGGAGGAAGAGGAGGATGACGATGAGCTACCACCTGTCATCGCACCTCGACCTGAGCACACTAAATCTGTGAGTCACTCTGAGGTTATAAACAATGACTTAACACAATGTTACCGATCGAAGACTTAGGAAGGCTTACAGTCTAATCACCTCAACAACTCAACTCAGTACAGAGTTGTACAGTATGCTTGTCCTGCTCCTCTCTGACTGTGTCCTGCCCCTCTCTGACTGTGTCCTGCCCCTCTCTGACTGTGTCCTGCCCCTCTCTGACTGTGTCCTTCCCCTCTCTGACTGTGTCATGCCCCTCTCTGACTGTGTCCTGCCCCTCTCTGACTGTGTCCTTCCCCTCTCTGACTGTGACTGTGTCCTGCCCCTCTCTGACTGTGTCCTGCTCCTCTCTGACTATGTCCTGCCCCTCTGTGACTGTGTCCTGCTCCTCTCTGACTGTGACTGTGTCCTGCCCCTCTCTGACTGTGTCCTGCTCCTCTCTGACTATGTCCTGCCCCTCTCTGACTGTGTCCTTCCTCTCTCTGACTGTGACTGTGTCCTTCCTCTCTGACTGTGACTGTGTCCTGCTCCTCTCTGACTGTGAATGTGTCCTGCTCCTCTCTGACTGTGACTGTGTCCTGCCCCTCTCTGACTGTGACTGTGTCCTGCTCCTCTCTGACTGTGTCCTGCCCCTCTCTGACTGTGACTGTGTCCTGCCCCTCTCTGACTGTGTCCTGCCCCTCTCTGACTGTGACTGTGTCCTGCCCCTCTATGACTGGGAATGTGTCCTGCCCCTCTCTGACTGGGACTGTGTCCTATCCTTTCTGACTGGGACTGTGTCCTGCTCCTCTTTGACTGTGTCCTGCTCCTCTCTGACTGTGACTGTGTCCTGCCCCTCTCTGACTGGGACTGTGTCCTATCCTTTCTGACTGGGACTGTGTCCTGCTCCTCTTTGACTGTGTCCTGCTCCTCTCTGACTGTGTCCTGCTCCTCTCTGACCGTGTCCTGCCCCTCTCTGACTGTGACTGTGTCCTGCCCCTCTCTGACTGTGACTGTGTCCTGCCCCTCTCTGACTGTGTCCTGCTCCTCTCTGACTGTGTCCTTCCCCTCTCTGACTGTGTCCTGCCCCTCTCTGACTGTGTCCTGCTCCTCTCTGACCGTGTCCTGCTCCTCTCTAACTGTGTCCTGCCCCTCTCTGACTGTGACTGTGTCCTGCTCCTCTCTGACTGTGACCATGTCCTGTTCCTCTCTGACTGTGTCCTGTTCCTCTCTGACCGTGTCCTGCTCCTCTCTAACTGTGTCCTGCCCCTCTCTGACTGTGACTGTGTCCTGCTCCTCTCTGACTGTGACCATGTCCTGTTCCTCTCTGACTGTGACTGTGTCCTGCTCCTCTCTGACTGTGACTGTGTCCTGCTCCTCTCTGACTGTGACTGTGTCCTGCGCCTCTCCTTACAGATCTACACCCGCTCTGTCATCGAACCCTTGGCGCCTCCCGCCCCTGTGAAGGAGGTCACAACCCCGCCGGAGTCCCAGGTCCAGCCGGAGAACACATCCAGCACTCTGTACCGCAACACTGATCGGCAGAGGAAGAAGTCCAAGATGACAGATGAGGAGATTCTGGAGCGACTGAGTATGTTGTCTCTCTGTGGACCTATGGAGCATGGAGAGACCCATAGAGATTGTGCTGTGACTGTACTGTGATGTGTCCAGACCTCTCAGCTCTAAACTCATCCTATTGCAGTGATTAGTGTGGGCTGCTCAGTAAGCCACAGATTACAGCCTTAGGACGGCCAAGCGCCCCTCTATAGTCAGAGTACTGCTCTCTCTGCAGTGTCTGCATGTGCCCCTGTCCAAAACATCAGCAGTGCTCTACTGTGCAGGCCAACCTCCCAGCATGCAGCAGTGTATTTTGCCATTAGTACGAGGCCCCACAGCGGGCCACATCCCTGAATGGCATGGGCAGAGGAGCGTGTGTGTAATGCAGGGTTGCCCTCTCCATGGTTGTGCTGTGTGTGCATGCCTACCTCAGCCTGACCTAGAGACACTCTCCACTAATCACCTCTCTCTGTCCTCTCAGGGAGCATTGTGAGTGTGGGGGACCCCAAAAAGAAGTACACACGCTTTGAGAAAATAGGACAAGGGTAAGTCCACTTTCAATCCAAATCCACTAGCTACTTACTGTCTCTTATTGGAACAAAGTACTCTTTGGTAGTCAGCCCAGCTGAAAGAAAGAAAGACAACGCCTCACTCAGGAGTGACCAGAGACAGAGCGGAGAGAAAGAAAGAGGTTGAAGGGTCTGAGAGAGAAGTAGAGAGTAACTTTATTCAGGCATGGCTGCGGGCCAGATGAGCTCAGCCTTCTCTCTCTCTCTCTCTCTCTCTCTCTCTCTCTCTCTCTCTCTCTCTCTCTCTCCTCTCTCCTCTCTCTCTCTCTCTCTCTCTCTCTCTCTGGGAGAGCTGGAGTCTGGGGTGAGCTTAGCCCTGACATCACCACTGCCTCCACCTCAGACCTGAATACAACAACAGCAGCAGTCAGCTCCCTCCAGCACTGCAGAGACACTCCATCTGTCTAACACACCACTAAGGGCTCCCATGATCAACGTTGGTGGGAATGGCAGACAATCTACACACACTGTCTATAAATTAAAACAGCCGTGCACAAGGATATGAACACTAAACCGTGGTTTCTCACAGACCTCTCTGATTAAACCCACATGGAAATGTTACCTGAGGATGTGAGCAGTTAACAAATCCTGAGCTCAGTAGCCTTACCACCACACACTCCATTACCTCTGGAGATCACATGAGAAGCTTCCTGATGAGTCAATGATCAGCATGGAGTGGTTCCACAGCTACCTAACAACAGAGTGTTACCTGGCTGGCTGCAGCGCATCAGTGACTGGGTTGGGATACGCTGCAGAAACACTTGTTCATTATTCATACACACTCACAATACAATACACTGGTGTAGCCTGACGGTCTCAGGGAGGGAGGGAGGGAGGGAGGGAGGAGGGAGGGAGGGAGGGAGGGAGGGAGGGAGGGAGGAGGGAGGGAGGGAGGGAGAAGAAAGAAGAGAGAGGGCAAGGAGAACAGAGTGAGGGAGAGATGTGAGAGAGAGAGAAGTGTGACTTGACTCAATCTCTGGAGTGTGACTTGTAAAATGAGTGTTCCACTTCATTCTGTATAAGGTCAATCTGTGAGACCTCATTATCGAAATGAAGCCATTCTGCAGCAGCAAAACAAACTGTTGTCAAAAAGACAGGCAAGGCATGGGTTAGACTGCCATGGTGCACTGGTAAAGTTAATGCAGTAGAAACTAGGCTAAAGTTCATGGTGTGGAACCAAACAGTAAACCAGACTCCTGGCAGGGGGCTCTGTCTATTCCTGGTTACAGCCTTCACCATGGGACTGTGTTATATTCCTGGTTACAGCATTCTCCATGGGACTGTGTTATATTCCTGGTTACAGCATTCTCCATGGGACTGTGTTATATTCCTGGTTACAGCATTCTCCATGGGACTGTGTTATATTCCTGGTTACAGCATTCTCCATGGGACTGTGTTATATTCCTGGTTACAGCATTCTCCATGGGACTGTGTTATATTCCTGGTTACAGCATTCTCCATGGGACTGTGTTATATTCCTGGTTACAGCATTCTCCATTGGACTGTGTTATATTCCTGGTTACAGCATTCTCCATGGGACTGTGTTATATTCCTGGTTACAGCATTCTCCATGGGACTGTGTTATATTCCTGGTTACAGCATTCTCCATGGGACTGTGTTATATTCCTGGTTACAGCATTCTCCATGGGACTGTGTTCTATTCCCTTGGAGCTGATACAGAAATGGAAGCATCATAAAAACAAAGAGACGTTATAAACCTGACACTACCCCAGGCTGTACCCAGGGAGGTGCCTGTGGTGTCTTGCCAAAGGGCAGAGTGCAAGGTGGTGGGATACAGCACCATGTCTCTGCCCTCCAGCACTCAGAGGTGTAAAATGTCAGGGCAGAGAGAGGGACATCTTGGGACAGAGGTGCAGGTTACTGTACCCCAGCCGGGGGTGCCAAACACACAGAGCTTTTTTTTTTTTTTACATTGTAGTCATTTAGCAGACGCTCTTTTCCAGAGCATTAAGTACCTTGCTCAAGGGCACATCAACAGATTTTTCACCTAGTCAGCTTGGGGATTCGAACCAGCGACCTTTCGGTTACTGGCCCAACGCTTAACCACTAGGCAACCTGCCTCCAGTTTACTGTAATCTGTGTCTGTCTGATTAAAAGGATGCTCAGGCTACTGCAGAGGGAATATCAGATCTGTGATTCCAGTGGAGCCCCAACACCACTGTGGCACAGGGATCAGAATAACAGTACATATACTGGACATGGTACAGAACAGACACTTTGCAAGAAATCATATTGTACATGTTAATAAGGGCACTTCAAACACACTGTACACTTGGCAGAGTGGGTTCATATGCCAGTCATGAACTGTATGCATTACAGACTTGATACTGTACACACAAGTCATACACTAAACACATCACAGAGTGGTGAGCACCCCATACACACTCTGAATGTAACTCAGACAAACAAGCACACGCATAGCAGAATGAGCTCTTGATATTCTCCACATATGCAAGTGGTATAATGTGCACATGCAAGCCATGCAAGACATTTATAGATATCAGAGAGGAAAGGTAATCTTATTGACAGGTTAATTACTCCTATTAGTTATTACTGACCCAGGGACACTAGTGTTGCCTTTTCCAACTGCCAATGGTCAATGCTGCCCTCTGGTGGCCAAATTAAATGGTACTTGATCATCTATGAAAGGAAGCCATTGAACTGCTTGCATTCAAATACATTCTGTAATTGTTTCTTTGAAGGGCATTCTTGTGTTAATAAAAAAATGTCCTCCAGGCTCTTGAGAGTTGCATAACTCTAATATTATGGAGATGGGTACCGTGGAGGGACATGTTTTGGAAGGAGCAGACAAGAAAGGCATTTCACTTTACTAGTGCACGTGACAATAAAAACTAGAAACTTGAAACTTTGAGAACTTGGGTGATCTGTTCTAACTCCTTGCATGTGGACTTGTTTCTATGTGGAACTAATACATTGTTATCTTGTTTCCTCAGGGCATCTGGCACTGTGTACACAGCCATTGACATTGCTACTGGCCAGGAGGTAAACTAACTACCACAGTCACTTCAGAAAATCCGCAACATCTTACGTGTCTATCAGTCACCCTGATGATTAGCCTTCTCTTCTGGCACATTAATTGTGTAATCTGTCAGAAGAGCACTGAAGATACCATGTAGTGTCGTGTTTGTGGTTGTTCCTCTCTCAGGTGGCCATCAAGCAGATGAACCTCCAACAGCAGCCTAAGAAGGAGCTCATCATCAATGAGATCCTGGTGATGAGGGAAAACAAAAACCCCAACATAGTCAACTACCTGGACAGGTGAGCCTAACCATACTGTGGTTACTGATGGGGAGAACCTAAAGTATAGCAGCTACTGTAAATATGACCATCTCATGCAATGACTATACTGAATCTCTCTGTCCTCCTCTGTCTTTAGTTACCTGGTAGGGTCTAGTATACTTTATCTCTCTCCTCTGTCTGTAGTTACCTGGTAGGGGATGAGCTATGGGTGGTGATGGAGTACCTGGCTGGAGGTTCACTGACTGATGTGGTGACTGAGACCTGCATGGACGAGGGCCAGATCGCTGCAGTCTGCAGAGAGGTAAGAAAGGGGGATTCCTAATCTGTTACACAACTGACTGCATTCAACAGGAACAGGACTTCTGTATTATACCCTTAATCAGCGTCCACATCATCGGCGCTCAGGGAGCAGTTGGGGAGTTAACTGCCTTTCTCAAGGGCAGAACAGCAGATTTTTCCACCTTGACGGCTCGGGGATTCAAAGCAGCAACCTCTCGGTTACTGGCCCAACGCTCTTAACCGCTAAGCTACCTACCTCTACTGTCAACCCCTTACCAGTTACCACGCCTCAGTGACAGTCCTCTACTGTCAACCCCTACCAGTTACCGCTAGGGTTGAATATTTTCCCAGTATTTTACAAATGTTTCATCCCAAGAATAAAAAATGTCCCGCCAAAACCGGAAGTGTCATTCAAAAGCATATAAATACGCCTATGTCTGAATTTGATTAGAGCTTTGATCGAAAATTCAAGCCTGATGCTACCTGAGCCTGATGAGCCATACAGTAAATATATTTATGAGCCCTACATTAGACATTTTATGAGCCCAAGCCCAAAAAAGCCCAAATGATTGTGGGCTACTTACTGCACATTACACACGACAGTAAAATAATAAAAGCCTATAGATGTAGCTAGCTATATGCACTCTTGGGAAATAAATTAAACAAGCTCCAGTAGGCTAATCATTTTGAGTGCGGACTGTATTATTGTACTGTATTGTATTATACTGTATTACAGTGCAATCGGAAAGTATTCAGACCCCTTTACTTTTTCCACATTTTGTTACGTTACAGCCTTATTCTAAAATGGATTAAATTGTTTTTTCCCCCTCATAAATCTACACACAATACCCCATAATGACGAAGCAAAAACAGGTTTTTAGATTTAGAAGAATCTCAAATATAAAATATAATTTGATTTGTGTTATTTCATAGTTTTTATGTCTTCACTATTATTCTACAATGTAGAAAATAGTAAAAAATAAAGAAAAACCCTTGAATGAGTAGGTGGGTCCAAACTTTTGACTGGTACTGTAAGTATTCAGACACTTTACTCAGTACTTTGTTGAAGCACCTTTGGCAGCGATTACAGCCTTGAGTCTTCTTTGGTATGACTCTACAAGCTTGACACACCTGTATTTGGGGAGTTTCTCCCATTCTTCTTTGCAGATCCTCTCAAGCTCTGTCAGGTTGGATGGGGAGCGTCGCTGCACAGCTATTTTCAGGTCTCTCCAGAGATGTTCGATCGGGTTCAAGTCCGGGCTCTGGCTGGGCCACTCAAGGACATTCAGAGACTTGTCCCGAAGCCACTCCTGCGTTGTCTTGGCTGTGTGCTTAGGGTCGTTGTCCTGTTGGAAGGTGAACCTTCACCCCAGTCTGAGGTCCTGAGCGCTCTGGAGCAGGTTTTCATCAAGGATCTCTCTGTACTTTGCATTTTTCCCTCGATCCTGACTAGTCTCCCAGTCCCTGCCCCTGAAAAACATCCACACAGCATGATGCTGCCACCACCATGCTTCACTATAGGGATCGTGCCAGGTTTCCTCCAGCTGTGATGCTTGGCATTCAGGCCAAAGAGTTCAATCTTGGTTTCATCATACCAGAGAATCTTGTTTCTCATGGTCTTAGAGTCTTTAGGTGTCTTTTGGCAAACTCCAAGTGGGATGTCATGTGCCTTTTACTGAGGAGTGGCTTCTGTACCATAAAGGCCTGATTGGTGGAGTGCTGGAGAGATGGTTGTGCTTCTGGAAGGTTCTCCCATCGCCACGGAGGAACTCTGGAGCTCTGACCAAGGCCCTTCTCCCCCGATTGCTCCGTTTGGCCGGGCGGTTAGCTCTAGGAAGAGTCTTGGTGGTTCCAAACTTCTCCCATTTAAGAATGATGAAGACCACTGTGTTCTTGGGGACCTTCAATGCTGCAGACATTTTTTGGTACCCTTCCCCAGATCTGTGCCTCGACACAATCCTGTCTCGGAGCTCTACGGACAATTCAAACCTCCTCATGGCTTGGTTTTTGCTCTGACATGCATTGTCAACTGTGGGACCTTATATAGACAGGTGTGCCTTTCCAAATCATGTCCAATCAATTGAATTTACCACAGGTGGACTCCAATCAAGTTGTAGAAACATCTAAAGGATGATCAATAGAAACAGGATTCACCTGATCTGAATTTCGAGTCTCATATCAACGGGTCTGAATACTTATGTAAATAAGGTATTTCAGTTTTTTATTTTTAATAAATGTGCAAACATTTCTAAAAACCTGTTTTTGCTTTGTCATTATGAGGCATTGTGTGTAGATTGATGAGGAACAACATTAATTTAATCCATTTTAGAATAAGGCTGTAACGTAACAAAATGTGGAAAAAGTCAAGGGGTCTGAATACATTCCAAAGGCACTGTATATGGACTGGAATTAAGCACATCATTCAAACCATGATAAAGCTGAGAGAACATGCGATTCTGGTGCAGCACATGCGGCTTACAAAGTTACAAGTATAGGCTAGCGAATTTGATTTTAATTTTGAAATATAATAGGGCCTATTTGTATAATTAGTAGGCTGATGCATATATACACTTCATAATATTTCCCCTAATGTTATTAGCCTACCTCCTCTTTCTCTCTCTATTGTTGCTTCATTCCTTCCTCGCTTTCAACAGTTAAATGAAATAAGTTTTGTTGTCCTTATCGTCATCATTCTAATGACATCCTTGAATAATATAGGACTAGAATGAGATGCAGACGGCTTTCACTTCTCTTCACAAATATTGAATGGTTATGGGTCTGAATAAATAACTGCTATAGCCTACCACCATCGCGCATTCGCTCTACTTTCAAACTACCCATGAGTTCTATTGGCTGCTGTATTTAACATTCAGCAAACAAGCGCTTGCGTCCCTCTTTGAATAGTCCATTGGTATAATAAATGAAAAAATTATAATAATCCATCAAGCTATTCTAGTCTAGCTTTTCCTGCATGGGACTCCAAGAGCTAAGGAGCGTTTTTTAAAAGTGAGAGGCCAGTGGTGCGTGCTTGTTGCGCAAGAGACAGAGGCTATAAGTTAGAAGCTTATTATACATAACCCATCATTCATTAGCTAAATACTGTATACGGCATTTCATTTATTAACTGAAAGAGGTAGGCTAGGACATATACAGTGGGGAGAACAAGTATTTGATACACTGCCGATTTTGCAGGTTTTCCTACTTACAAAGCATGTAGAGGTCTGTCATTTTTATCATAGGTACACTTCAACTGTGAGAGACGGAATCTAAAACAAAAATCCAGAAAATCACATATTATGATTTTTAAGTAATTAATTTGCATTTTATTGCATGACATAAGTATTTGATCACCTACCAACCAGTAAGAATTCCGGCTCTCACAGATCTGTTAGTTTTTCTTTAAGAAGCCCTCCTGTTCTCCACTCATTACCTGTATTAACTGAACCTGTTTGAACTCGTTACCTGTATAAAAGACACCTGTCCACACACTCAATCAAACAGACTCCAACCTCTCCACAATGGCCAAGACCAGAGAGCTGTGTAAGGACATCAGGGATCAAATTGTAGACCTGCACAAGGCTGGGATGGGCTACAGGACAATAGGCAAGCAGCTTGGTGAGAAGGCAACAACTGTTGGCGCAATTATTAGAAAATGGAAGAAGTTCATGATGACGGTCAATCACCCTCGGTCTGGGGCTCCATGCAAGATCTCACCTCGTGGGGCGTCAATGATCATGAGGAAGGTGAGGGATCAGCCCAGAACTACACGGCAGGACCTGGTCAATGACCTGAAGAGAGCTGGGACCACAGTCTCAAAGAAAACCATTAGTAACACACTACGCCGTCATGGATTAAAATCCTGTAGCGCACGCAAGGTCCCCCTGCTCAAGCCAGCGCATGTCCAGGCCCATCTGAAGTTTGCCAGTGACCATCGGGATGATCCAGAGGAGAAATGGGAGAAGGTCATGTGGTCTGATGAGACAAAAATATAGCTTTTTGGTCTAAACTCCACTCACCATGTTTGGAGGAAGAAGAAGGATGAGTACCACCCCAAGAACACCATCCCAACCGTGAAGCATGGAGGTGGAAACATAATTCTTTGGGGATGCTTTTCTGCAAAGGGGACAGGACGACTGCACCGTATTGAGGGGAGGATGGATGGGGCCATGTATCGCGAGATCTTGGCCAACAACCTCCTTCCCTCAGTAAGAGCATTGAAGATGGGTCGTGGCTGGGTCTTCCAGCATGACAACGACCCGAAACACACAGCCAGGGCAACTAAGGAGTGGCTCCGTAAGAAGCATCTCAAGGTCCTGGAGTGGCCTAGCCAGTCTCCAGACCTGAACCCAATAGAAAATCTTTGGAGGGAGCTGAAAGTCCGTATTGCCCAGCGACAGCCCCGAAACCTGAAGGATCTGGAGAAGGTCTGCATGGAGGAGTGGGCCAAAATCCCTGCTGCAGTGTGTGCAAACCTGGTCAAGACCTACAGGAAACGTATGATCTCTGTAATTGCAAACAAAGGTTTCTGTACCAAATATTAAGTTCTGCTTTTCTGATGTATCAAATACTTATGTCATGCAATAAAATGCAAATTAATTACTTAAAAATCATAATATGTGATTTTCTGGATTTTTGTTTTAGATTCCGTCTCTCACAGTTGAAGTGTACCTATGATAAAGATTACAGACCTCTACATGCTTTGTAAGTAGGAAAACCTGCAAAATCGGCAGTGTATCAAATACTTGTTCTCCCCACTGTATAGTATATCAGTCTTTAACAGGATTATCTATTTTGGATGCAATTTGAATGGAATTGATGGAGAGAGAGACTGCTCGCGCATGCTCTGATTTAAAGAGTTGATATTCGAGTGATAAGCTGTTTTAAAACTCTGCAGCTGCAATTAAATATGGTGACCCCCGAAAGCAAGATGGAGATGTGTAAATTAGACACGCATTCGGTCTTTACTGTAGCATAGGCTATGCTGCAGCCAATGTCGGCCTACCTGTCACAGTGCCTTCTCCA